CGTCTCCATCTCTTGAATTAAAACTGTTACTGTATTAGGTTATAAACCATAAGCACAAAATCGATGTCGGAGTAATTCTAAAAAAAAATGTCCGTAGATACATGAAATTTCCACTGGATGTTTATATTAGCATTTTCTATATACGATACATTTTTCAAAATATTTAAATTAGTTTTGAACTGTTTACGGACATAATAATCAGTTTCCAATATTTTTGTTTTTTCTATGAATAGGTATCAATTAAAAACAAGGTAGGTACCACGTAAGTAGGTTATTCTGTAACCTAAAAATCTCAAAAATATAAACACACAGTTTTTTTTATAGTTATTTTATGTTCATATTTGGACGAAATTATGTATAAAATAACCAAGAAAAACGATTTTAGTTATTTTGTTGTAATTTTATAATAATATTAATTCAACTTACCGGCTACCGTATTTATAATAAGTAATAACAAATTTAAATATAATATAAAATATCCACATGATAAACCGTACCAGCTCAGAATTGTTTTTCGTATACCTACAATGATAGATATATCATTGAATACAAATTTAATACCATCCATTAAACAGTGACCCACTTGTAATCTACTGTACAGCAGAGCGACATCCACTTACCCATCTCTTTAAACTTTGTCTCATCAGTAGAAAGGATTTTATATTTTTAAAGCTGATAAATTTATTGAATAAAATTAATTTAAATTATAAGAATATAGCTAACTTTCATTCACCACAGTGAGAATACTACTAGCCGCTGCTTTATTATATTAGGTTTCATCAGTAACATTAAGTATGTTAGTATGTATATTAGTATAGTACATTATTGTATATATTATATTAAAATAATTTCATTCATACCTACTTAATAAGTAGGCATCTAATATATAATATAATATAACTATAGATTAATATATAGTTATATGTTATATTTTGTTGAACTATTGGTTATTGGTCCATTGGGTGGGTGGGTGCAGGTAGGTTCGAAACTAAGATGATATTTTGAACCACCATTTTTGAAGGACCTCGGCGCCACTGGCTGTGCCTCCCATGGGGGAGTGTACCTATGTTCGAACTTGCCGCTTTCTGTTATTTATATATTATATACGTCGTATCACCGGTCCGACAGCCCGACGAAAGTTTGTCTTTCCTGTACGCTCGAGTTGAGCGGACACCGTGCATCTGGTCGCATCCGGCTTTTTGCTGCCTTTGCGGCCACCTCGTGGTGCTTCATTATTATACACGGTTTTAAGTATCATCATTATAATATTTATGGTGTGTTTTTGTCTCGTCTGGCCGTTTTGTTGTAACTTGTAGGTGATGTGATCACCTCGTGGCCCTATTAATCCGCGAAATATATCGTCGAGTCGTTGCCTTAGCGCGACAATTATTCATCGTCAAGAGTCACGACGTCACGTCACCGCCACCCACCATGATGGTTTATTATTATTATTTATTACTATTTATGATTATTGTAATAATTGTTATGAAATATTACCATTAAATATTATTCATATTATAATATTATAAAACTATTATTAAAATATAATTTAAAAAAAACATGTCTAATTTACTAATTCTTAACTTTCTTCTATTGATAGATATTTGTTTATTGTTTATTCGAATATCTATGTTTAAAATTGAATCGGTTAATTTTTTATTCGAATAACAATAGTTGAAAATTATTGGAATACATTTGTATTTGAATAATTGTAAAAAAAAAATATTCGAATGATTTTTTATTCGAATAATAATAGTTGAAAATTAATCGAATACATTTTAATTCGAATAATTGTAAAAAAATCATTCGAATAATAATTTATTCGAATAAAATGTTAGGTACCTAAATAATCATCTAGATAAAATTGCATTCGAATAACGCCCAACTCTGCCACCATCGACATCGTCGTCGAAGCTATTGGAGTTTTTATCGCCGCCGATACTCCATCACGACCGCGGCGCATGTGCCGACCGGTATTATTATTTATTATTATTGTTTTGTTTCGAGCTCGTGAAGATACGTCTTCGCCAGCCGTTTTTATTATTCTATTATTGTGTGTTAAATGTTAATACACTAGTCTATCGGTCACCTTATCCACTCCAAACTCGTGAACACCATTATTTATTATTATTAGACACAAGGGTGTCTTTGGCATACAACATTTGTTGTAAATCCTAAGCATGTTGAATGTTTTCTGACACACACGCTACGGTTACATGCACAGCTAAAACCGATTTAACTAAATTCAAATTAGCCAACTCCCGGAGTTAAATGCATATATAAACGGCTGTTTATTCAGTTTAAAATGAATTCGGTTAACCTAAAACGGTTTAGTTGATTCACATTTGAAATGCGCATTAGAAATATGTATGTTACCCCTGCACCTCAAAAACGATTTTCATATTTTTTGTTGTGCTAATATTTACATTTTATGCAATTAGTATGAATTTGTATGACCATTTCCGAAATTCGTACGACTTCCCGTCAAAGTATAAATATCATTCCTAACATTTGGGCATTTCTTCAGCACCCCCTCCTCAAATAAAAACCGATGGCAATAGTGTGTTTTTTGTCCCATATAATTTAGTACGCGAGTCGTACAAATTTGTATGCTTGTTTTCAAAAGCGATAGTTCAGAAACCACTTATTTTTTTTTAGTTTGTTCGATTGCCGAGTATAAAAAAATTATTTGCAACTCAACCATTGTACTTACGACCCAACACCATAGAGGTAATAAAAAACCTGGAGGTTCTGTCCATAATTTCTATGAGATTTGGAAATGAAAGCAAGCGTTGATCAGAAAATTTTTTTTTCGTGATTTGCGAGTGTTAAAAAATGATTTGTGACTCAAAAAAAGCTACTACCCAACATCATAGAGGTAATACCGATCCCGGAGGTGCTGTCCGTCCTTTCTATGAAGAAAATTTACAGCTACATTATGTTGCCTATGTCTATATTTTTAAGGGAGCGTTAGCAGCAGCCGGAGCCATAAAAAAAAGTTGTTACTAAATTCTATTTTTTTTTAAATTTTTTATATTTATATGAATTAACCACCAAAATCAATTACTTTTTATTTATATACATTTATATTTTTATTTTACATTTATATGAACTAACCTAACCTAAAGTCAATAACTTTTTTATTAAGAGGACGCCACACCCGCATGTGTTGTCTCCGTCTTACAAATGTACAACATAGCAAAAACTCTTTTGCGAGGGACAACTTTTCTCGCACCATATTTGTTGTAGAACTACCAAATTTTCACAGCACTTAAAGAAGAACTTTATCTGTGCAACAGCGTGCTCTTTTTTTCAATAACATATATACAATACAAGTTATTTGCTTCTAAACATTTGGTTTTTTAATTTGCTTATAAAAATGATTGGATGGTGCTATTGAAAAAAAGAGCACGCTGTTGCACAGATAAAGTTCTTCTTTAAGTGCTGTGAAAATTTGGTAGTTCTACAACAAATATGGTGCGAGAAAAGTTGTCCCTCGCAAAAGAGTTTTTGCTATGTTGTACATTTGTAAGACGGAGACAACACATGCGGGTGTGGCGTCCTCTTAATACATTTATATCAATTGATTTTTTACTCCACCTACTCTATTAATTATTATACATGATTATTATATAATTATTTATTATATTACTCGCACAGACAACTACTGGCATACTAGTCATATTAGTCCAAATTTGTTTAATATTTATATGAACTAACTACTAAAGTCAATAACTTTTATTTTTTTTTTAATTTAGGATTTTTATTAAATTTTCCCTTTTTTATTTAACTTTCATGTTTATACAATTACGAATATTTCTTATTAATTTGTTAAGCTCTGTTAACTGTTGGTTTTAAACTGTGCATGTAAACGTTACAACGTCAACTGGTTTGGGGGGGAGTGTATTATACTAATACGGTTTTAGACGCGCATGTATACAGGTACCCTAATTCAAGTTGATTCAAATTAATGGATGCATGTAAACATGGTATAGAAATCTACCATGGTCACGAAAATCGGTAAATAAATGATAAGGTCCCCTGGTTTATGTACGTTGCTTTTTTGTCTGTAAAAAGTGTAAAGTCAAAGACCGTGTTGGAATGTCTAGCATGTCAGTCACCTGAAGTAAAAATCGATTAACTTTTAAATAAAAAAAATAGGGACATGAAAGTTTTTGCCGCAAAGTGTACATAATATTATTATGCATATTAATTATTATTTATTACCATACGGCATATACAAATACACAATAACATTTTCAAAATATTTAAATTAATTTGTGAACTTATTCACACCATTCTACACTTCTCACTTCTTAGTACAATAATTATAGTACAACGGTATAGAGTATTAACCACGGCCTAAGGTAATCAAGACTATATCCATTGATTTTTAGATCACCTGAAAAGTTATCTTCTAGTATTAAGCAAGATATATAGTCGGTTATTTAAATTCAATTATTTATTTTATAACAAAAAAATGTACTAACTTTTATTGTAAAATTATATCTAAATTAAAGACAAATTGATTTTAGTTTTATAAATGATTCTATACAGGATGAATTATTTTTCATAAAAGGAACATAGAATATTACTGTTTATTAAAAAGTTCTTGAACCTAATTTTATTCATATTTGAATCAAAATTAATTTACTATATAATGAAAAGCAAGAATTACATTTTCAAATTATAGATTTATAATAGTTACAAAAAGAAAAAACAATATGAATTATAAACAAAATAAAATTATTACAATTAAAAATCTACTAAATGTATGATAACATTTGTGATTAATGATCAGTTATTATTGTACATACAGAAAAACATAATACATATTAATATATTATACATTATAACTAATAATTTAAATTGTTATCAAAATCTCCACCTTGGAGTACAAAAAAAATTTTTCCTGGTCACAAAAAAAAAATAGAATTCTAACACCAAAATTGTCTCATATAAAGGAACAAATAATGAATACTAAACATTTAATTTAGAGATTATTTTAACTGTTCACTCAAATTAACTCTACCTGTTCCAGAAAAAGGAACTTTAATTACCTTAGTCTTCGCATCAGGCATCATAGTATCTAACAATTTCTCTAGAGCAGGAACTGAAAGTATATCAACATTATTTGACTTGTCATTTTTTTCTTCAGCAGTACCCTCAACTCCTGGTAGCTGTCGGGACTTTCTTGTTCTGAGTATAGGTATATTGTTGGTCGTTTCTTTAGTATGGGGTAATTCTAAATTATAACTAAGAATATGCTGGTTCTGAAGATATTGAGTTATAAATAAGTCTGTAACAACGAGTAACTCAACAGTCAATCCCCAAACCAAGTGTGTTAATGTCTTGGAGAGTTTCTTGAGACAATCAATCAGGTGACGGTTAGTAGTTGCGGACTAAAAAAAACAATTAGATTAATATTAATAAATAGATGTTATAAAATAATATATTACATAAGAAGTACATACTTGGCTTATATAAGAAGGAATAATCAGTAATCTTTTAATACCATCACATTTTCCCAATTCCTCTTCTACACAATTACTGAATTCTATGTTTACCAATTCCAGAACATTGAGCTTTTTAAGACCTCTAATGACAGTAAAAACATCATGTGCAGATTTATCCCATCCATTACAGCAATTTTCTAGTCTCAATGTTTTCAAATTGACAAATCTTTTTAGTGACACGGCAAAATCCTTTGTTAAGTATTCACAATCACCAATTTCAAAAAACTCAATATTATCAGTAATAGTATTCAATCTCTGATAGATCTCTTTTGGAAATGCTTTAATAGAGGTTAATGACTACATAAAAATAATAAGAGTAAATATAATACTTTTTCTTTCCTTAAATATTTTAATTATATATATAATTAATTATTACTAAACTTACAAATCTATTCAAATTTCTTAATTTTTTAAATGATGGCAATGCCGTCAATTTTATTCCAGTTAAACCTTTTAGTCTTAACTCTGTGAGATTTGTCATTTGTCCCAAATAATTTAAGTTGAGGTACATTATATCATTGGGATTTTTTGTCTCTTTCATCACATTTGGATTTCTAAAAATAAAATTAATTATTGAAACTATTGAAAAAAATGGATGATATTTTCTTTATTACTTTATTGAAGTAGCATTAAGTACTTCAATTTGAGGTAATGAGTAAATAATATCTTCAACAACAAGGACAGGGCATCTATACAATTCAATGAATTTTAAGTGTTGTGCTCTTTTCATTGCATTTGCAAATCTCAACCAAAAACTTTCGAAGTCTTCAACTTTGGAAGGTATCATCATACGTCTAGTGTCTAATGTATCAGTTCTTTGTTGATCAATTGAGTCTACAAATCTTTCCCAGTCATAGACCATAGAATTTTTTAAGCGAACATTCTGCCACTAAAAATATTTAATAAATAATCATAAATACACTATATGACATTTTAAGGTTAAACTTACTAAATATTTATTCATTGCAATTATATTCCAGGCTGTACATACTCTAGAAGCTGACAACAGCTCATGCGTTTTCAAATATTTAAAAACATGTTTCAATGCTAGAGCCATGTTATTAAATGATTGCATGGATGCAAAAGGTGTTCCAATTTCTCTTAAAGAAATCTCAGAATTCCTGTTAAATTTGGTTAAAAAAAAAAAATTAAATTAGAGTTATAATTATTTTACCGTACTTGAAATCAAAATTAATATTTATTTGTGTTCTCAACCAGGCACATATAAAGACCACTAGCTTTAACATGCAAACTAAATTACGCCTCAGAACATGTATGAAACAATTAGTAAATAACAAATAGGGGTTGAAAGGAATATAGGAATGCTGACTTTCTGCTCAAATCTGAAAACAAACACAATCAAATGATTATAGTAGTAAAAAAACAAACATTTAACATACACTCATTCATACAAATGAGACTAAGGACCAACGCTACTGCTGTGTGCCTGGTCCATTATTACATTCCTCCAAAAGATAAGGAAGATAAAATATTTTCTTACTCATCCAGATTTTTAGGTTCTTGAATAACACAGGTCATCAAACTGGGTCCTTGTGTTTTATTCATTTCATAAACATACTGCTCATGAAAACTACCATCAACCATTGTAGTTTTGTATACATTCCCTTGACAAATAACTGTATTAATTATATCAGAATCACTATTATCACTATATTCATAAATTTCATAATGCATTTCATCAGTTTTAGAAATAGGTGTTTACCAATAAAAAAATTAGGTGCGTCTGACGTTTGATACACCTGTTGTAAACGAATTGGTTCAACACGTAGTTGTTCCAGTTTAGTAGCACCAACAACCACAGTATGAGAGGACTGTACATGTCTATTTCTTTGCCGCACAGTAGTAAACAGTTTTAAATAAAAAAAAAGGAAAACATTTTATTGTTTTAAAAAAATAAAGAAAACTATAAATAACCACATACATACATATAATATACATTAGGGTGTTCCTTAGCCATATAAGAAAAAAAAAAATAATGATATTTTTCTGGTCTCACCCCCTAAATCGGTGTGTATACATATAAAAGTGAACTGCAAAAAATTTTAGGTCAATCAAATAAAGTTAACCTGTGCCGACTTGAAGTTAAAGTTTGAGCTTAATACATTTTTAAATAATTTTAGACAATTTTTGTATTTCCGTAAATATTTCGTAAACTATTATGAAAATCGTAATTTTTTATAATATGTTTTTTCAAGTAAATTAAATTTCCAATATATTTTATAATATAACATTTTTTGATAAATCTATTTATTTAAAAGATGCATAAGCGTAATTAAATAGTACACAGAGCTTGTACTATATTGCATAGTCCCCAATCTCCATCCAATGTACTACTGCGTAATTAGGTAGTGATTTCTTAAATTGTAATTTTATTAGCTACGGTATGATTCTCGAGCTCTGTGTATAGAAGTCTGGTTTATTACGTAATCGTCTGTATTAAAATTTAAAGCTTCTAAAGTAGCCTGGAGAACATATACAGAATCTCGAATACTTAATTGACATCTATCTAACGCTCCGGCCAATTTTGGTGTTATAAAATTTATTTTTCCACGGCATTTCTTTTTTTTAGTTGGTGGTTCTATTAGCTCTAAAAAATTAATGCTGGTCTCTAATTCCGATATATCGCTACTTTCTAGACTATCAGTTTCTAAATTTTGCTCAAATGAGTTATCGAGTAATGTCGAAGTTGAAGCACAACTTGTATTATACATTTCTTTTCTTTAAGATTCATTCAACTTTCGTTGAATGTGAATATTTTCTTTTATTTCTCCTTTAATATCTATACCTCCGAGACAACCAGGACGCCCTGGTAAACGCTGGTTTATTAGAAACTGTTTATCAACTTCTATTTTAATTAATTTTAACGCATCAGAATGATCAATATCAAATAACAAATCTATTTTTTTTTTTTAAATCATTTTCTTTTAACCGATAAGATTCACCAACTTTTTGTGCATTTTTCTGTAGATTACGCCATTCCTCGTACAAGTTAATTAATTTAGTTATGCAATGATGAATAGCTCGAATAGGAATCCGGGCTTTTTCCCAAAAAATGCAACACTCTCGTACAGCTAACGCCGCACTTTCCCTAGTAGTAAGATTAACGGATCTCATATTGTAGAAAAATACAGAAAGTACTTGCCCGTTGGATGGAAGTTTTGAGCCATGAATTTGTGTGATTTGAGATCCAATTAAAAATATTTGAAAATCACTTCTCAGTTTTATTGACATTTTTGCTATTTAAATTATTATGAATTACTAACGACAAACACAATAATAACCTTTAACACATAAGACGTTGACACAACTGAAATAAATGAGTATCACTAACAAAATAATATCTTTTATAAATTATAAAGCAAGACTAATACCTACGGAAACTATTAATGCGATAAGTTATAGATAAACAATACGTATTTCAACACATCTTAATCGTTTTCACAATCTTATTGTTTATTATTTATACAAGTATAATACGAAAAAATGAAGAACCAATAATTACACAAATAAGTGTATAAGAAGTACATAATATTACTATGAACATTGAACATTTTATAATTTTACCAAATATTATAAGTTAAGATTATTATTATTAATCCTACAATAAAATAATAAAATGTAAATTATAAATTTGTGGAGAAATTCTGTTTTTTAAGATTAAAACTTATGCATCTTATAAATTAATAGATTTATTAAAAAATGTTATATTATAAAATATATTGGAAATTTAATTTACTTGAAAAAACATATTGTAAAAAATTACGATTTTCATAACGGTTTACGAAATATTTACGAAAATACAAAAATTGTCTAATATTATTTAAAAATGTATTAAGCTCAAACTTTAACTTCAAGTCGGCACGGGTTAACTTTATTTAATTGACCTGAAATTTTTTGCAGTTCACTTTTATATGTATACACACCGATTTAGGGGGTGAGACCAAAAATATTTTGAAATTGAAAATTAAGGAACACCCTAATATACATACATAATCAACAATTCTTTAATTAGCATTTAAATTGACACATGCTTGATGATAGTGGACCAGACATTGTGCACACATTAAAGAGGCGGGTTCATCGTTATTCGGACACCATATCCCACAAGGTGTCTGCATAATAACTTCATCATCTGATGTTGACAACCTATTTTTATCCATTCACGTACATGATTTGATTGAGGAAGGATTATGAAGGAAGCATAAGGATAACAACCCCTTAATTTATTATATTATTTGTGAAGCCAAATAATAAGCTAAGAAGCAAAAACTGTTTATTCCTTAACAATAAAAAATAAAGCCAATATGTTACCGTCTTGTAATTATTGCGTTGTTTATATCAATATTCTCAAATTTTGGAGAAGAAACTTTTGGTGATGCACTAGATTGAACAGCTTGGCAGTCTTCAGATATGTTTTCATGTGTAGACAAAGATGTATTCATTGATTCTGAAATACCTAGGTGATAATGTAAAATGTCAGTTCTGTATTTAAATTGCACAATAAAACAAAAAATTATTTCTCAGATTAACAGGCAAATAAATACACAGGGAGTTCTACCAAATATAAAATTATAATGTATGAATTTTGAAAAATTTGAATTGTATTTGAATTAAATATATCACAGATAGATTTCCTTATGTGTGCATTTTAGAATATTACAATGAGTGGAGTATTATTTGAGATAATGCGAGTATACCAATTCACAACTGCAAGAGTCAATACCAATTATTTGAATTAGGTTTATTTAATATTTTATAAATATATATATTAAGTGCTAAATAAATTTTTATAAGGCATATACTCAATTAAAATTGAATCCTTATTCATAATTCATAAATAATAATAAAATATATTAGTATAGTAATATATAGTATATAAAATATATTTTTAATTTTTACCTTTTTTAGATTTCGATCTAGAGGACCTCTTAGCCTTTTTAAAAACAATTTTCATTTGTCTCGAAGACTTGTTGTTTTCATCATCTGACAATTCATAATAAAATGGTGCCTTAGATTTGTTAGGTCTGACAGCAACATCAACAAAAGAGTCTTCCTAAAACCATAAAATGTATGAAGGGAAATTGAAAATTACTCAAGTAATATTTATTATATTTAAGTTTATATAATAATAATTGAAAATTAGGGATGACAAACTTATTTCCTAAACTCAAAATTAAATCTTCTGCACTGACAAAACTTTTAAAAATTTTAAAGATTTTAAAACATAATAAAAGTAAAATAAATCTTGAGATAAAGTTGTAGGGGTTTTAATTTTTAACAAAATAGTTTTGAGTTATTACTTATTAAGTCTAAAAAAAATATTATCAAATAGCCAGACATTGTTAATGTGATATCAAAATTTGTGCGAGGTTGAAAAATAAACCTAACTATTCTTCTCTTTTACTTAAACATTATCAACTATTAAAACCATTTAAGATTAAACATCAATTTTCCTCGGTTCAATATACTTAAAGTTTACGATATTTAAGGGTTCTCGGAATTAAAGAAAAAGCTGGGAGGAAATAAAAAATAATGTACAAAGTAAAGCTGACAAATTTAATTGTGTTTTTTTAATTGTTATTAGACTATGGAATAACTTACTACAATAGATAAAAATAAATAAAAATTGTATTCATTACTTTAGATAATTTAGAATTTGCATCTTTGATAAGTTCTTTAGATTGATCATTCATGCCAATTGGTTGTTTTAAAAATGTAAAACTTTCTATGGTTAGATCATTATCAGATAAGATGTCATTATCAGATAAGATGTCTTGAATTTCTCGTAATGATCTAAGTTTTCGGTTAGTCGGAGAATAATAGTATACATCAACATCTCTATTTGTGGGATTAAGAATAGTAGATTCACCTGATGTTCTGTACACTAATTCTCGTTTCCAACCTGAAAATTATAAAACACAAATAATACAACAAAAATAGATCATTAATATAATTTACTTACCATGCTCAAATGGAATTTTATAAATAGCATCACTGATATCAACATTAATTTGTTTACCCGTTCTATGGTGTGTTCTAGCGTTAGTGGAGGTAAAGTTGAATTTTGGAGTAGTTAGTTCTAAAAATATTAAAAATTAATAACTATTTATTTGATAAAATTATTTTTTTAAAACCAATAATTATTCATTTAAAGTAAAGCCAGCAAATATTATGAAACTCATACTGAACCTAAAATATAATAGGTACTTTTAACTTTTATAACATAAGATATATAAATATAGGGTATCAAATTATACAAATACCATCTTAATATTCATTATTTATTACTATGGTTGTAGTGCATAATTACAGATTTTTATTTTTTGAACCCAATGTGTGCTGTAACAAATTTATATTCTTGAAAACTTCCTCAAGCTACACATCATTATTATGTTTTTAAACACTAATGTTTAGCAATCATGATACAAAATTTTAAAAATATAATTGCATTTTTTTTATTTTATGTGGTATCAAGACCCTTTGACCAAGACTTGTGTGTCAAGTTTACCTACTTGATTATTACTTTCCTTAAAGATAATTTATATGGCACTATATTAGTATACAATAATAAAACTGTGGCATAAGCTTATGATTTGATACCGCATAAAACTGAATAAAAAATTTATGAAAAACTGAGTAAAAATCATAATATAATTTCAGTTAAAAATGCAACA